TTTAATAAATAATTCACCTATCAGAAAATCGCATAAATCTTGATTCGGATTTCCTGCGTTATCATTGGCCTTTCGTTTTCCCATGATAAGAATAATATGAATTCAATTTATTAAATTTCACTGATTAATTTTTATAAAAAAAGAATACAAAATAGAATCAATTCACGAGAGAGACAAGAACAGCAAATAACGAGAAAACTGGAAATAGGATAAAAATTAAGAAATCAGCGCCATCTTCAGAATGTTACAAAAACACATAAAAAAGGACAGAAAATATTAAAAGAAAAATAGAGAGAATAAGAATTAGAATAAGAATTAATCTTTTGCACCATCTTTGAAATATATCATTTCAAACATTTCTTCAAATAATCATGCTTCTAAAAGCAATCAAAAGATGACATTAATAATCAATTCTTATTTTATCTCACTTTTTGTTTTCTTTATTTATACTTATTTTTATACATAATTATAGATACAGAATCAATTGAATTTTCATTATATTTTTTCAAAACTTATTTCTTTCAATATGTCTTAATTTTTAAAAATATATATTATTAATAATGTATATTATATTGTCGACATTATAAGGTATCTTTAGAATGATGATTTCACAAAACATAGTATACTTTCTACATAAGAACGTTTTATCGTTCGGCGGTAATGAATTTAAATTCTATAACAGAATATTTGTTTTATTTCTTTATTTCTTATTTCTTTTTAAATTATTTATTTTATATTAATGATATTATATTATAATTTAATTTCAATTTCAATCATTATCAATATTGCAATCTTATTTTCAATAACATTGAAAATGATACTGCAATGGTAAAAAGATTTCAATGCCTTTAAAGCATAGGATAAAAAAATTGAATGTTAGATCTATTCTATATCTCTTCTGTGATACCTTAGTGTTTTGTAAATATCGATTTTATTCAACCAACCATGATTCAAACGAAATTTGTGTATATTATTTTAATTTTTGTAAGGATAAATCAATTTCAAGATCGAATATTCGATTATTGCACAATTGTCTATATTATTTAATGTGATAATTACAAATATGGAACTAAGAAATTTACTTCTCATAATTGCATAATCTATAATTAATTAAATTATTGTATATTGTAGATGAACGAGAATATGTTATAAGTTTTCTATAATTTGAAGTAAAAATATTTGAATACAGTAAAAAATGAATTAATTTACTTCGATTTTAAAATTACCAATGCAATCAAACAATATTAGAAATCTTAAAAATGTTACGACGAAACAGGTGAAGTGTGATCATTATATAATTATTGAATCATTATTTTTAATTAATTTTCTTGCCAATTATTAAAATTATAAAATGGTATATTATAATTTTTAATGTTCTTGATTTATTTTAATGAAATTATTTATTTATTTAACAAATTATATAGATTGAAGAATAGGATGATTGCAATTGGTTTTCTGGTGCTGGCTGCTGTAATTTACAATGAATTTTCAGTGTATGATATACAAAAGTTAAAGTGGTCGACACGAGAATGTTCAGAATGTGTCAAGGTACTATTTGTTGCCGATCCTCAGATATTAGGAGAAAAAAATGAAAATTACTTTGGTTCTTGGATAGCACGATGGGATAGTGACAAGTACGAATAATGATTAATTTGTTATATAAAATTATAATTCTTATATATAAATTTGATTTTTTATATAAAATATAAACATTGACATTTTGTTCCACAGTGTATTATTTGCAGGTACTTAAAAAGAACATTTTCCAAAGCATTAGATCACTCTGATCCGCATGTTGTTATATTTCTGGGAGATCTCATGGATGAAGGTCATATTGCCAATGCAGATAATTTTAAAGCTTATAAAAGAAGATTAGATTCCATATTTGAAATGCCTAATCATATAATGGTATATTTCATATATTAATAATCTAATAAATAATATTATTTATAATATGAAACATATTAAAATAACTTTTATTTTATTAGAAAATTTATCTACCTGGAGACAATGATATTGGGGGAGAAGAAGATACAATTTCATCCAGTATTCACAAAAGATTTAATTTTGCATATAATCAACCAGACACTTTAGTTTATAAAACAGTAACATTTTTCAAGGTAATAAAAAATATATATAAATATATAATATAATATTTTAAATATATATAAATATTTCAAATATATTCTAGATCTTATTGATGGATTGTAATATGCATATTATTTTTTATTAGGTAAATAGATTAACTCATACAATACCAGAAGCACCTAAAGATGCCTTTCTTAATGATTATGCAGAACGAAATACAACAAACGTTGTACTTAGTCATATGCCTTTATTGTTTATGCCTGGTACCTTCGTTCAAAATGTATGTCAAATTTATGCATTTATTAAAAAATAATAGTATTTTTAATTCTTATAATAATTATATTTTACTCTTATTAATAATTATATTTTAATATTAGGTACTGAAAGAATTATCTCCTCAAATTATTTTTACTGCACACGAGCATAAAGCTATGCGTATCAGTTTAGATACGATGACAGATCAATTAAGTGAGATATGGGTTATACCTCCCTATGAAACACCATTATATCAATTAAGAATGGATGTAGGTGATATTCACGAATTGCAAATACCCACTTGTTCATATAGAATGGGTACTCCTCATACGGGTTATGGACTTGCTTATATTGGTAGAAAAATTATATTCACTTATGAAATTATCTTATAATCTTATAATAATTTTTTTCTCAATTATATTTCATATATTTATATTTTTATATTTTTAGATACACAAGAAAAGATAGTAGAATTTACAATTTTATGGCTCCCTGGAAGATTTCCTCAACTATGGATTTATATTTTTGTTGGAATATTTATTTTAGCCTTTAGTATTTGCATGTGTATTTCCAATTATTGTACAAAGAATCATGCATATAATCGTATGTCTTCGATATAACAGCGTATAATCAAAAATACATTATTCAAATACTTCATAAAATCTGAAATATAATTTGATATCAAAGATGAGATAAAGATCCGTCCAATGTAAGTGATTCTGTTACCATCTATATCAAGTTTCTAATAGAATAATGTGATGATAATGTGATGATAAAATTTCTTATTTCATGCCTGAAATAAGAAAAATTTATTTATTATCAATTATAACATAATTTATAAAACATTCTAAACAATTAATAACTTTAGTACTTAAAAATAAATAATTCATGATTTCATTATCTATTTAATTTAAATTTTAAAATTTTATTAAAAATATTTTTTTTAGAAATATTTTAGTATAGTGTATATTTATTCGTTTTTGTTTAAGTATAATAATTTTTACAAATTATAAATTTGAATAAAATATTAATTATTTTTAATATTAATAAAATTGAATTTAACATAACTTGTATATAATATATAAATCTATGTATTTATCTATGTATTATGCTTTATAGTTTTATTTTTAGTAACAACAATATTTAATATAAATGTATATTAAGTGCTTGCAAAAGTTCGTCAAATTCCAAATAAATGGAAATTATTGCGAGTTGGCAATTTCATTTCTTCATGGAGCAAGATGCTTATTTATAATTTTAAAATTTATCTACAGCATCTTGAGTAATAATTAATTTTATTTTTATTATAGATAAAAGATTAAAAGGTCACAAATAGCTACAAGATTTGTTGTTTATGATAATTCCAAATTTCATATTGCTATGAATATTCTATAACAATAACTTTCATTGCCTTAAAAAAATTATGTGCATATTGATTAAATAAATTTAAAAATCCAACGAACTTCTGTTGACACTTGATAAACTTAATATAGTTAAAATTCATATATTTCCTGTTTAAATATATTAAGAGATTGTAATCGCTATATTAACATAGCGCAACTGTTAATTTTTTTAGAAGAGAGTTTATATTTATGTGTGAAAATATATTGTCTAAAATAAATGTTATTGTATACGTTAAAGTTTGATTATTTTGATTAGTTTCTATAATAATAATTATATCTAATTTATCTAATTGTAAAACGATTTAAAAAATAATATAATTTTATATCTTGATGATTTAAAAATGAATTGTAAAATATTTAATACAATAATATAATACAATTTTTAAAATAGATCTCTCAAAAATTCCGCCATATTATTTGAAATGAAAATATAGAAAATCCAATCATCAATTCTTTATGAAGATAAATTTGACAATACTAATATCCGGACACAAATTAATATAATTAAGTTACTAGAAATTACTAATAAATTACTAGTTTCAAATTCTCGCAGTTTCCCGCAATTTCCCAATTTTATGAAATATTTGTTTTTTATAATATGCCATAGTAAATCAAATAAACAAAGATATTACATACTATTATTTTTTAACTATTTTTATTATATGTTACGAATAATAAATTAATTAAATTAATTAAAAAATTTTGAAACGAAATACAATATTGTTAGCTTAAATCTTAATTCAAGTCTACGTTGTGATACTTATTCAAGGAGATAAATGTTCTAAAAATTGTTTTTATTGCTTCGTTTACTTGTCGATAACATCGAATGCAAACAAAAATGAAAACAAAAATGAGATATATTTTTTTTTATCATTCGAGATAAAGCGAATTCAATCTGAAGAAAAAAAATTTTAATAACTAATAATTTTTTCACATTCAAACGAAAAAAATGAGAATTTAAAAAGACAATATAATATGATTAATGATTAGCAATAATTAATATTGATATAATACTGATAAAAGTAACATAATATAATAACAAAAAATAATTTAAATAAACAAAGTATTTTTTAATTATACATTTCTCCTCAATAAAATTATGTACATTATGACAATTTTGCATTATTTAAATATATTTATAATTTCAATTTCCAAAAAAAATGTTCACTTCCGTTTAAAACGCTTCGAACGATCTAGTTTCTTTTATATTATATATATATATATATAATATACGTTGTGGAGAATTTCATGGCCGCATTGGTTGCGTTGCATCAGCAAGTGCAATGTTCATCTATTTTCGGTTGTCTCGTAGCGGTAGATCGCTTCAATGATCAGTGATTTTTAATCTGGAAAATGGCCGAATCAGAACAAAGGAACAAAGAGAATTGTATCGTAGGATCAAAAGAAATGATGGTGAAGCAAGAAAAGCGTGAGAACACGTTGACGAATGGCGGGAAAGGATCTGGGGATGACGCGGACAGTCTCGAAGAATTACCTCTTGATATTGGTGAACACTATCTTGTTCGCAGATCTGATGATTCCTGGCGTAAATATGTATATTATCATGCAATCATTTTTATGTTATTATATATAAAGAATAATTTAATATTAATAAATTATTTATTCGCGCACTTTTGTTCGCGATTTTATACTTATGTTTGTACTACCGGTTTTATCCTAATAAACTATACTTGTTTTGCAAACATTACGAACGATATATGTAATAGGTGATTTAAATATTTTATTTGTTATTAACATTTTATTTTTTTATTTCTATGATTATTTCTTTCGATTATAAATCATAAGTTATTAATGAAAAATATAAATTAAAAAAAAAGGGTATGATATTAACAGAATTTTTTCAATTTCATATAGATCCAGCAGAAATTATTCAAACTCGATATAACGAGAGTGAAAGCCACTATGAATATTATGTTCATTATGAAGGACATAATAGAAGATTGGATGAATGGGTACCTAGGGATAGAATTATGTCAAGCAGATTTGATATGAGTGATAGAAGTTGGAAAAGTGGAGACAGAAATTCTGGTACTGATTTATTGGCAGATTCATCAGATCGTAAGATTACAAGAAATCAAAAAAGAAGACATGATGAAATTAATCACATTCAAAAGGTGCATATATCATTATATTTTATATTATCATTAAATTAAAAATATATATTTATAAACAAAAATCAACATTTTTTTTATTGTAGACATATGCCGAAATGGATCCTACAACTGCTGCACTAGAAAAAGAACATGAAGCAATAACAAAAGTCAAATACATTGATAAGATTCAAATAGGTAAGCATTAATATATATTTTATAGTATTAAATCTTATTTGAAAAGAATCTCATTATTTTCAAAAGTTCATTTCTAGGAAAATATGAAATTGATACTTGGTATTTTAGTCCATATCCAGAAGAATATGGCAAGCAACCAAAACTATGGATTTGTGAATATTGTCTTAAATACATGCGTCTTGAAAAAACTTATAGATATCACATGGTAAAAAATTTTAATATTACAATATTTAATTCTCTACAAAAATAATTAAATAATTCTATAATTAAAAATTGGAATTTTTTTTTTAGAGTGAATGTACGCATAGACAACCAGTTGGCAAAGAAATATATCGCAAAGGCACATTAAGTATATGGGAAGTGGATGGTAGAGAGCATAAAATTTATTGTCAAAATTTATGCTTACTTGCAAAATTGTTTTTAGATCATAAAACACTTTATTTTGATGTTGAACCATTTCTTTTTTATATTCTTTGTGAAGTTGATAAACATGGAGCTCATTTAGTTGGCTATTTTTCAAAGGTATATTTTTTATTTGATTATATTTATAATTTATAAATATAATTGTATTTATCATATTTGATTTACATACAGGAAAAAGAATCACCTGATGGTAACAATGTTGCTTGCATTTTAACTTTACCGCCGTTTCAAAGACAAGGATATGGAAAGCTTTTAATTGCTTTTAGTTATGAATTAAGTAGAATAGAACAAACTGTTGGTAGTCCTGAAAAACCTCTAAGTGATTTAGGAAAATTATCATATAGAAGTTACTGGAGTTGGATTCTTTTAGAAATTTTGCGGGATTTTCGAGGTACTCTTAGTATAAAAGATCTGAGGTAACTTTACTTAAAAAGTGATATAAGTTAGATCAAATTATATAAGAATTTAAATAATTATTAATATAATTTTCAGTCAAATGACAAGTATATCACAAACAGATATTATATCGACCTTACAAAGTATGAATATGGTTAAATATTGGAAGGGTCAACACGTAATTTGTGTAACACCTAAATTAGTTGAAGAACATATTAAAAGTAGTCAATACAAGAGACCACGGTTAACAGTGGATAGTAGTGCACTTAGATGGGGAGCTCCACCACGAAAAAACGTAAAACCTGGCAAAAAGTAGCAGAAATCAAATTGTAATTCAATGATTTTTATTATCGTGAGATTTGGTGATTTAATGTGTTTAGTAAACACTTGATAAAAAAAAGTTGCACTTGATAATATGCAACAATATTCTTAAATTTGGTAAACAATTTTTATGCGCATATGCGAATTTATGTAAAATATTACGCGTATATTTCGCTAATATGCATTGTAAGATTTGTATTTGACTCGTAAGATGAGTAAACATGATTGATTTCTAAAGCTTCGTTAAATCTTCGGAGCATAAAAATATTAAAAGATGTAGTAATATATTCTCTAAATAATTTAATTTTTTTTCGGTAGTACACAAAAAAAAATTGAAGATAATATACTGATATTGACTCGAAATACCATGTATTTCTTAGGATAGAAAGATCATTAATTTTTGCTGGAAATTTATCAGTTTTGCAATATGTGATTATAATCTCAAGATACAAGTATATTGTGTTTCACATAAAAGAAAAAAAAATAAGATTGATAATACCATGCAGTATTAATCTGTATTAATGATTTTATTATATACATTCATTAATAATAAATTAATTATTCATGAGAAAGAAATTATCATAAAATAACCACAAATATGATTAAATTTTATCATCATTACACAATAATATTCATTATTTATAATTTTGAAATAGATGATTTATGCATTTCTTTCGCCAATTTAATGGCATACTTAGCAGTTCCAGGTGCAGTGCACACTCCGTAACCTCCATGTCCATAATTATGCACTAGCTGTAACATAATTTTGATTAATTAACGAAAACATTCATAAATAAAATATTCAATTGAAACTAACGATAGCTTTGGAAAATCCATTTATGATTTGTTCCCTTTCCACTCTGACATTGTTTTCTCTATGTGGTCTTAAGCCAACTTCTATCTTTACAACTTCTGCTTTTTTAATATTTGGTAAGAAGTTTTTACATCTATTATGAATTGCTGTAGATTCATACAGACAAGGTTTTAAATTTTCAGAATCAAAGTTCCTCGAACCACCTAAAGTAACTATACCATTAAAACCTGGTATAATGTAAGTATCCAATTCGCCATAAAAAAATGTTTTCAACCATGGCGCATTTACCTATTTTTTTAAAATTAAAAAATTAAAATATATTTTATATTTAAAAATTAATTCTATGTTAAAATAAATATACTTTAAGTATTTGACCACGTATAGAAACGAGACGTTTATCATTGCATAAAGATCGTGCTCCGAGACCTGTACAATTCATAATTAAATCCCAATCAGATACAAGTTCTGTTAGAGAATTCAATTTTCTTTCTTCCAATTTAATTCCACTTATTTCTAATCTAAGAATAAATATTTATTTAAGGATGTTTAGTTTGAAGAAATTATGTTAATTAATAAAGTAAATTCGTTACTTATTACGTGCCCATGGCAGATACAGTTTACACTCTGTAAGAAGAGTTCTAAAAAATGAGCCATACTTCCAATTACCTTCCACTAATTCAAATTCTTCATCAGTGGCTTTTCTATATATTGGCACTAAATCTTCGATCCAATGATTCTATTGTAAAAAAAAAAAAAAAAATAATTTTTTTTTAACAAAATTAGAAATTTGATGATATTCTATCATAATGTATATTTTCAAAAATATTATAATATTCTTAATGAACATACAATATATTTAAAAAATATTTATAAAAATTCGAAATAAACCTTAACAGTTTCTGGTGAAGAATTTGCAAATAAATAACCGGATATAGCGGTTATACCAGCAAAGGAAGCTTCGTGAGACTTTCGAATATCATCGTAATATTCATACGAATCTCGTATCCAACATCTAAAAAAAACATTTTAATTAAAAAATATAAAAATTTTAAACATCAGAAATAAAATCTATCTTTACATATGAACCTTGTTATTTCTTCAGTTGGTCCAAAATATGATGAACCAACTCTAAATATTCCAGCTGCCACATGACTAACGGTATTATTAAAATCAGAAGCGAAAATAGTAATTTCAGCATTACGTAATTCATGTTTTAATTGTAAAGCTGTAGTTAAACCAATTATTCCACCTCCAATTATAACCACTTTCATTTTTTCGTATTTTTTTTAATAATTAATTAATAAACAATATTTGATATATCTTTTCAAAGATTCCAGTAGAATATAACAATTTATTAATTATTAGAAAATATTATTAAGAATAACTAATATTGTTTGATAAAATTCTAAAAATTCTACATCTTATCTGTTGTTAAAATACTCTTGTTCTGATTGTATCATGAAATTACTTATAGCTGCAGTCGATAATATGTTCTGTTAAAATGAACTCGCAAGATGTATTAAAAGAATTACGTTTATTTTAATACAAATTGACATTTTCCAAAAAGTTGTCGTGGTAATTCAAATATTATGGGCAGTTAATTCTCTTATTAAAGATAAGATAACATCATTCAATGGAAAACGTAAAAGTGTGATTACAGCATAAAAAGAATTTAAGATTTCTGCGCGTTAAACAATGATTAATTGAGATATGTACAACGAATGTTAAAAATTCAGAGAGAATTAGTTAATTAAACTTAGCTTCATTTTCTTATTTATTTGTCTTATTTATAGATTAATATGAAATTTGATCTAACCACATCTATTTTCCCGCATATATACAAACTTTAATTTCAAAGAAAAAAGAAAGAAAGAAATTGTATCAAGATCTCTTTTTTCTTTAAAACTAACGCCTAAATCAAAAATAATTTGTAAACTACAAAAGTAAAATATACAATGATAAGTTCATTTGCCTTACGGGTATCTTACATCTTCAACAATGTAATTGTTATTAACAATCGGTCCTCTTTTGTATAAATTACATTGTCACGCGTTACAATTTTTCATTGTATCTCGGATCTCTTTTTTTTTTCGACTATTTGTTTTTTCGTATCGAAAAATATATAAACGTAACGCGAATTTTTAGAGATGTGGACGCAATGGAATAGTCGTCCTATGCGAACTCTATTCCGAAAACGATTAATATCGCATCACAAAAAATGAAGCTATTTACAATAAGCAAACAGTCGATGAATTTGTCACTAATAATAATACATTATTTTTTGCGTCTACGTTCTGCGCAAATTTTAACGATCTTACAAAGCCTTTGTATGTAAGGCCACACTCACGATTTTTCTTTTTCTTCCTTTTTTTTATTTCTCCATGGAGAAATAAATATTTGTATATTGTTCATTTTACAAGCTTAATGTCTAAGATTGTTATATGTTAAAATAGAATGCTACCTAAAATACAAAAATCTTACGCTTTACTGCAAGGCTGTATTGTATAATTCAAAGGAGGAGGAGGAACTAAAAGAGGCAACGGAGTAGGAGGTGGAGGAGCTTGAACAGTATTCGAAACTGTAGTTGCTGATTGAGCTTCACTGTTACGAATATTAACATTGTAAGCAGAAAGATAACTTGGCCAAAGATGTGGTGGAGGAGGAGATCCAGGAGGTGGCGGCGGCGGAGAACGATCATCTAGTTCGTCCGAATCATCCATCATCATTGCCGTTAATGGAGTGACACGGGGTTTCTTTATTTTTATAATTTTCACCTAATAAACATAATTAATGAAACAATAATTTGATACATAAAAATTAAAAATTTACGTTCTATTTTTTTTTATCTCTTGAAGTAATTTAATAATTTTAAATGAAAAATTTAAATTTACAAATTAAGAGAATACTAACCTTTACTTTTTTTTTTGCTTTTGGAGGTCTCACTCTTTTCTCTTGCTTTCTGCTCTTCCTAGAACTGGATCTTCGAACGTCACGAATTCCATTCCGAGCAATTATAGATGTGGGTGGTGGAGGAGAAGGCATATCTCCTTCACCACCACTAGGACTGGTACCTTCTCCAGGTTTGATTCCATCTGCAAATTGCACTGATTTTTTACTTCTTTGTTTCCGCTTATTCAATTTTGCTAACTTTAATTTTTTCATCTGAATCTTGAATTTGTTTGATTTATTCTCAGCTTCATCTTTATTAGATTCCTTTTTATCTGATTCTGGACTCTCTTTATCCGTGTTATCTCCACTATCATTTTCAGGAGTAGATAAATCATCTAAGTTACCATTAGGAACTGATGTTCTAAAATATATTTATATATATATATATAATAATAAATATATACATATTTGCATGTTTATATTTATATCTTAAGAATAGTATAAATATTTCTTTATTCCATACAAATATAAATAATTGCATACCTGAAACCCGATGCAACTAAGATTCCTTTCAAAGGTGGTGGAGGCAACTCTGGCCATTCTTTGGATTCTGTCTCGATTTGAGTTTTATTTGTTTCATCTGTTGTTATTGTTGCAGTAGCTTCATCAACATCGTTTTTTAATTTATTTAATCGCAACTTTTCATCATCTTCTTCTTCTTCTTCTTCGTCATCTTCTGCCTCTTCCTCATCTTCTTCGTCATCTTCCACCTCAGCTTCTTCTTCCTCTTCTTCTTCTTCATCCTCTTCAACAGGCATTTCTTCTTCTTCTGTAGAAACAGAAGATGCAACAACCGGTGTTTCTTCTTCTTTTTCAAAAATAGTAACGGAAGTTTGTTGCTCTTCCACATCACCTTGTTCTTCACCTTCTAGAAGAGCCTTCAAAACACATGGATCTAAACCCGTATTTTTTTGCTGATTTGCATTTTCTGTTTGGCGCATGTTACTTTTTTCTAATAATTGAAGAGCGCGACGATTAATTCGTTCAATTCGCCTACGTTCTTTTTCTTTTCTCCTAATCTCGCGCAATCGTTTACGTTCTTCCTGTTCTTTTCTGCGGGTCTCCAAAATAACTTCGTAGTTATAAACTGGGAGAACTGGTACTTCTGTAAATGTAATTATATAAATAATTATTTATATTTTAATACACACACACAATATATGTTTATCATAGAAAAAGACTAAATTTATTTACTTTGTGATGTCACTTCAGTTCTTGTAAACGTTGATTGTGATGCCGGAAGTGGGACAGGACCAGGGACAGGTACAGGAACAGAAATAGGTAATGGAACCGGGGACAAAGTAGAAACTGGTGTCGAAGTCATGGCTGGTGGAACGGCCGGTACAGGCATTGGAACAGGAACTGGAACAGGTACAGATATAGGAACTGAGGGAACCGGAGAGGGTTGAGGGACTGTCGCGGAGTATATCATCCCTGCTGATTGATCGATTGAAGAAGACTGTCCGCCGCTCCAGTCTAACGATGTCGGAACAACTTGAAGAACATTACCTACGCGAACTACTTGACTTGAGCCTCGTACAATCGGTGTACTCGAGGAATTGGTTGAGTCTCTATGGGTTGCTGAGACTCCATTGAAATCTGCAGGTACAACTTGCAATACATTGCCAACCTGTTTGATATTTTGTGAAAATATATTATTTTTTGACAAACAACATCATTTTTTTACAACATCATCTTTTTGCAACATCATTAAATAAAACAAAGATAAATAAACAATAATATTAGTAATATATTATATTTGATTTTATTTAATTATAAAATAAAAATTAAATTCATAAAATTTATTAAATAAAAGATTTTTATATAAATTAATATTAAATTTTTTAATTTATATAAAGAATTACATACTTGTAAAACGGTAGGTTGCTGGCGATATAACATCTGTTGTTGTTGCTGAGGTGATGACGAATAACATACATTTGAATTAAAATTATCTGTATAATCATTTGATATTCCTGTTCCATCTTGTTGCTTCTTAATACCTAGTTCAAGTTCTAATCTAAAATTAAGCAAAAAATTTAATCATGAAAAAATACTATTTTTTATAACAAAATATATATTTTATTATTATTGGGATCAATGAATAATATATATATATATATATTATATATTATTACATATCATTATATATTATATATTATTATATATAATATATTATATATTATAATAATTTAGGAAATAATGGAGAGGAAGGGCAGTTAGGGCTAGGATTCCGAACACGATTTCTATAAATATTACCTATCATCAAGTGGCAAACGTTTCGGAGAACTCGCTGCAGAGTCATCAATGCACGGTGGATAAGTTAAGTTATTCTCTGTATAATAGTATTCGTTTCCAACTTCGTTTTCAGTCGAATATTGGAAACCTGCTGTGACTGTCTCCATATTGTCACCGATGTGCATTTCCGAGTCTAACACGGTCGAGTCCCTAGATAGTCCGGACACGGACTGTACAATTGTTTCTATTCGTCTACCTCTTTCGGTGCAGCTATCTATTTTCATATTATCGTGTTCATCCTTCCTTTCCCTTGAATTTTCACTGACTCTACCTCGTCCCACAGAAGGTGATCTGAATCGACAGTAAGATTAGCTTACTGACTACCTAACATGAATAATAGTTTACTAATTATTGTTTAAATTATTCCTAAAAATTCACCTGGAAGATCGTAATCGTTCAGTTATTCGTATATGATCTGGGTTCCTCATTCTTGATCTCGAGGTAGATCTAGTCCTCGACCGAGATCCAGATCGAGACCTTGATCTCGAACGCATCATTGATCGAGATCTGGATGTTGATCGAGATCGTGATCTGGACCTAGATCTTGATCTAGATCTTGACCATGACTTCGATCGCGATCTAGATTCACATCTGAAATGATCGTGTGATGATCTAGGCGGTGATCTTCGTAGTCGTAACGGAGAACGACTTCTAGATGATGGTTTTTCTATTCTTCGAATATGTCCATGTCTGTCTAGATCCAATAATTCTCTTTCCTTTTCCCATTGCCTATCTCTTCTTGTACTGGGCCTACTTTTTCTTTTAAAATAATAATATAAATTTGTAATGTTTTTTATTAAACAGAGAACATTATTTAACAATACAATATTATCTATATTAATAATTAATATTGATATTAATAGCACCTATGTTTGAATTTTGATGAGGAACGGAAAGGACCTTCCGTAATATCTCTTTCAATACTATCATTTCTATAGTATAATTTTTCTTCGTAATCGAGGTCCAAATCTTGACTATTAGAATAGGAATCCAAAGACTCATTTCCATCTCGAAGTATATTTTCTACTTCATACGGCCATAATGATCGATCAGCTTCATCTCCACGAAATCTTCCTTCTCTATGTCTATCAGGATCCACATTTCTTTCTCTTAACACTTCTATTGTTTCATACGATCTACCTTCTTTTTCTCTTTCCATATAATCGTATTTCCTTCTGCTCCATTCATCTCGCTCTCCTTTAGATCCATGCTTCTTAAAATGATCTATATAAATAAATAACCATTAATAATATTAAAAAAAGAAAAAAAAAATGATAAAAAAAATATTACCTTTATTGTATGAGGCAGTGTTAGATCGAGGAGAAGTTCTTATGGATCTTTCTCTTCTATCATTTATTTTAGATCTACCAGATCTATCTTCATCTATTCTAATTGATCGTCTCTCTTTACTAGAGGAACCTGGAAGCGATTCTTCCTTTCTTTTTGGACTTTTGCTTCTACTTCTACTCCAACTACGACTATGGCTCTCACGGCTTCCTTCCTGTTCCCAGGAAGTACTTCTTCTTTTTTTATTACGATCAGAAGGACTAAATCTTCTCCTTTCATTATAATCCTGCTTTAAATTTTTATTATCTCTTCTATCTCCTTTTTCTTTATCATCGAATTTTTTATCTCTTTTTTCTTTATTTCGATCATTAATTCGTTTATCTTCTCTATTTTCCTTTCTATTCGGAC